TTTGCCAGTCGGTTAGTCTTGTCCCCTGTAGTGAATTAATACAATAGCTGTCTGAATTCATTAGTCAATGTTGGAGATACAAAGACACATTTTCATCATTTGTCTTTATTTTAGCTTAGAGCTTATGCAAACTACAGCTGTCTCCTTTCCCACCCATACCCTTTCTCGATTGCAGTGTTATCCTCAACATGTTATAATAGATGAAACGTCAAGAGATAGTACTAGGCAAATATTTTGACTGTATCAAAAGTTAACCAACTAATATAATTGTTTAAATTATAAATATGTTTTGTATAATGCAAGCCACAATTAGATACATCATAACTATGATTAAATAATAGCCAAATAAAAAGATAAATTTTATTAAAATTCAATGCACCATTTTTCAGGAGGTATCCCATATTTCTATTTTCTACAGAAGTTTTTGAGCTTGGAGGTAATAGAAAAATTATATAGCAATGTGAATCTCCTGAGTTTCCGTATTAGAAGACAAGCTGATGCTTACAATTGTTTTAGTTTTAGAATAATAAAATGTACTTAAAACTAAATTGAAAAAAAGTTTTTAGAATGTCTTTAGAAAAATAATCTCAGGTTATTAATTAGTTAAAAATAACTCTAAAGTAACTTACTGTGAATTAAACTCTCTAGCTGCTAATCTCTTTTATTAAAATTTTAATTAAAATGTTCCCTCTTGAAACACCCTTTTAAATTATAACTTTTAGAACACAATTTTCTTGTTTAGGATGACTGCATCTACTGATCTAATTTGGAATCCTTAAGGAAAATAAAATCTAAACTTAGCAATACATCAATCCTCCGCTAGGATTAGTTTGAACTGGTAATGATTTGTATTATCATATAACATAATATTTATAGAACTTATGTCTCACTAACTCTATTATAATAACATTAAAATTCTTACCTTAGCCTTCACTCTTCAGGACAAACTCAATAACAGAGATAAAGGAATTCAATACGAAAAGTCCTTTAAAATTGTCCATTTGTGATTGAGTAGCTTACCTATTTAATGTTGAACATATTTCCATGTGTTCTTTTAATTTTGAACACATTTCCATGTGTTCTTTTATCTTCTAAAAATTAGATTATAAAAGCAAAATATAAAGAGAGTAAAATTCACTTAAAATTTATGCAACAAAACTATGTTAGAAGAATAGATAAGTAGGTGGAGGGACAAATGCAAAAAAAGTATACTTTAAAACAAATGCACTGGCTAATTCATACATAATGTTATTGTGTGAATTATTCTGTTGTTTTAAAACTGATTCTGCACTGTGCAAAACGTTGTATATTAGGTTGGTGCAAGAGTAGCAGTTTTTGCCATTGCAAGTGGGAAACAGCACCGTACAGACCTTAGCCTACCTTTTACAATTATCCCAAAAACTCATGGAAATATTTTTAAATGCATAAATTGTAGTTTACTGCTATTATCAATAGGGACATTTACAAACTCATAAGCAATTTAAAAATTATTTAAAAATTGTTAAAAGAAGGATTGGTTTGTTTTAAAATCATAAAAATTAGTGACTAAAATGACAGAACTAGATACATAAGTATATACATAACTATATATTATTGGTCATTTCAGCACCCATAACTCTGTATAACATATGGAATATATATTTGCATATTTTGCATTCATTGTCAACAGAAAGATGAATTGAAGCTAAATTGCTCCAAATATTTTGAAGGCTTCCTAATAGAAATAATAATAGATTATATCCATAGCATGTTTCCATTTTCAAAGAAAATTGGTAACCTATAATGAAATCTTTCCACCATATACTTTACTCAGTCACCACCCTGAGCAAATACTAGCAGCTAAGTAAGCAGTCCTTAAAAGGCCTGAAGAGAAACAGAGGACATTTGCATAAACAAAACCTGGAAAATCTGTCCGAAAACAGCAGGATGTAGAGACACTGATACTGTGAACGTAGATGAAAACTTGATTTGGTTAAGAAGACATTTCAACCTATATGGGGGGTGATAATTGGTATCAGGATTTTAATTCTGAAAGACAAGGCCCTCAGAGCTTGATGCTGTTACGTGAGGACCAAGAGGCGGGAAGTGGTGACAAAATGCACTTGTGGTTTAGCTCAGTGCAGAGCACACTGCAACTCTTCTTTGCAGAAAGGTGCCAAAATAGAAGAGTATGTTTTTCTTTTGGGTCTTTCAAATCTAATATTTGTAAATCATGGTGAATGATACTTTGAATATTCAGAATCTATTTGTCACTACATTCAAATCGTGCATTAATCACCTTTAGTGGAGGAATGTATTTACACACATTATTTGGATTTCCTCTATAGGGAAGTTTTGTCTTTTCCCCCCACTTATTTATTTACAAATCACTGCTTCTCTCCCCTCTTATGAACAGAGCTTGAATATATTTGTATGTATGTAAACCACAATTGAATAGGCAGAATAATGGCTCACCAAAGATGTTCATGTCCTATTCCCCAGAACTTGTAAATACTGATGCTACATGACAGAAGAGACTGTACAGATTAATTATATCACAGTATTTAATTAGGGAGCTTATCCTGTATTACCTAGTTTGACCCAGCTTAATCAAATGAGTCCTTAACAGTAGAGAATTTTTTCTGGCTGAAAGTGGAAAATAGATGGAGTAGAAATGAAAATCAGAGAGATTCCAATTGTAAGAGATTTCAGTGCATTATTATGGGTTCTGAAATAGGAACCGACAAACCTGAGAGGAACTTTAGGGGGTTATTAACAGCGAGCAAAAAGCAGGTAGCTCAGTCCTATAATTCTAAAGATCCGAATCCTACCAAAAGCCTAAATGAGCTCAGAAGTAAATTCTTCCTAGAGCCTTGTAATGACAACCCAGCCAACAAAACTTTATAAAATACAGAGCAAGAAACCAGCTGAACTACCCTGAATTTCTGACCTACAGAATTGTTTTTGAACACAAACTTGTATTATTTCAAGTAGTTAAATTTGTGGCAAGTTGCTACAGTAGCAATAGAAAATTGACACACATATATACACATATCTGTAATTATTTCCATATCAACCTATCTGTATATTGAACTTAATGTGAGTTCACACTGATAGCTCAGACTTTTAATCCAGTACCACAGAGTTCATTCTGCTCTTGCTTATTTGTAACTTATTTTCCTGTTAGTGAGAAACTTTTCATTATCTTCCATTATTTGCTCATCTCTTTTAACACACATAAAGTAGTTTAAGAATTATTCACTTATATGCTTGTGATATTCAAACTTACCAACTAGAGTATTATATTTATGAACAGTTATTTTTGTCTTTAGTATTGCAAACTGAAAACCTCTTTTGCAAAGTTACTTAAGTCATCTCTTTTATTTTCCACAGCACCTGCAGCAAAATTTCCACATCACCTGTAGTAATATTTCCTATATATTGTAATGCAATTAGGTTTATTTGTCAGTGGCTACATTACATAATAAGATTCCCCAACACCATAGATTATATTTTTTATTTGTATTTATTGAAGTTCACTCTCTACAATGTACAATTCTATGAATTTTGACAAGTGCATAGAATCTTGTAACCGCCACTCCAGTACCTCATAGAAAAGTTTACCACACTAAAAATCCTTCTGTATATCCCCATTATAGCTCATCATCCTCTCTTCTAACATGCAGCAAACACTGATATGTTTTCCATCCCTATAGTTTTGCCTTTTTTTCAAATATCATACAAGTGGAATTACACAATAGCTATATAATTTTGTGCTTGAAGTAACACAGAAGTAATGTGTCTTATAAAGCAATATATGAGAGTTTCTGTTACTATGTATTTTTAACACCATTTAAGGTTGCTTTTAAATGCTGTTAACTAAATGTCTAACATTGAGGAGCTGATAAATTGTTTTCTAAAGTGGCTGCACCATTTGATATTCCTGTCAACAATAAATGAGAATTCCAATTTGTCCATGTCTTTCTCAACACTTGTTTTTATTTTTTATTTTAGCCATCTTAATGGGTGACATCTCAAATATATTTCTGTCAAAGCCTTCATTTTATAAATTTAGTTCATTCAACTTATGGAAAGAGTTGAGTGAAGAAAATCACCAAACCAGTTTTCATTTCTTAACCAACTAGCCACATACATTTGCTTTCTCCAAAAATAGAATATCTCACTCATTTTCAATTCAAATAGGTGTTTTGATCCTTGTGAAAACCATGCAGTTTTTCTTCAACTCAATTTCTAAGTTGTACAAGGAGCAAAGCAAACAGAGAGAAGAAAAAAAATGAAGAGTCTCATCATAACCTTGTAGTCTGAAATAAATGTCACCATTACTTTCAGCACCTGTTACTGATACTCTCTTTGCTATGACCTTATGGGATTCTCCTGCAGAAGCGACCAAGCATTATTTCATGGTAGTCTGAGAATGAAGAAGCAAAGTACTGAAAATATGACAGCATTCCCACCCCATCCTAGAATATATCTAAAGATGAAGGCTAACAACAAGCCACATCCTCCACAGAAATATTTATCAAGACAAGGAAAAAGCAAAACCATACCATGCTAACTTGAATAAGCAAGGTTTCATATAAAAACCATTATTTCAAATATTCATTTTATCTGGCACTGCAGAGGTTTTTACATATCCACCTGGTTAAGATTTGACATGAATGAGGTACATGTAGATTGGCAGGGGTGGGGAAGTTGTTTTTGTTTTGTTTTTAATAATAAGAGCAAACGTTAACCCAGCTGTGAGAGGCAGAAAAACTCAGCAGGAGGCGCAGACCTCAAGACCATTCTTGTAGTTTTAGAACCATTCTTATTCAGGGATTTCTTCACCTCTCCAAGTCTTGCCTGAAACCAGGTACCTCACTCTACTCCACTACATGGCCCTCTGCCCAGGCAGTTGGAATCTGCACCTAGCAACATACTTCAAAGCCAGATTGACAGTACCATGAACCAATCACAAAGCTAGATTTCCTTTCCGGTCTAACAGTGGCTCTTGTGCTGCGGACGGTGTCGAGAAGAAAGGGGCGGGGCAAAGGGAAGGCGTTAGAAATCACCACCGACCAAGCCTCCCAACAGCAAGTTGGTTCTTCAGCATTAAGATCCAGGTGTCAGCCTATGTCTTTATACTGTCAAGATGTCTCTTTGTAAGAAGTTGACCTTAGACAAGCTGGATGTTAGAGGGAAGCGAGTCATCATGAGAGTAGACTTCAATGTTCCCATGAAGAAGAACCAGATTACAAATAACCAGAGAATCAAGGCTTCCATCCCAAGCATCAAGTACTGCCTGGACAACGGAGCCAAGGCAGTAGTTCTTATGAGTCATCTAGGTCGGCCTGATGGTGTTCCCATGCCTGACAAATATTCTTTAGCGCCTGTTGCTGCTGAGCTCAAATCCTTGCTGGGCAAGGATGTTCTGTTCTTGAAGGACTGTGTAGGCACAGAAGTGGAGACAGCCTGTGCCAGCCCAGCTCCTGGTTCAGTCATCCTGCTGGAGAACCTGCGCTTTCATGTGGAGGAAGAAGGGAAGGGCCAGGATCCTTCTGGAAAGAAGATTAAAGCTGAGCCAGATAAAATAGAAGCCTTCCGAGCATCACTTTCCAAGCTAGGAGACATCTATGTTAATGACGCTTTTGGCACTGCGCACCGGGCTCATAGTTCCATGGTGGGAGTGAATCTGCCCCAAAAAGCATCTGGATTCCTGATGAAGAAGGAGCTAGATTACTTTGCTAAAGCCTTGGAAAACCCAGTGAGGCCCTTTCTGGCTATACTTGGTGGAGCCAAAGTGGCAGACAAGATCCAACTCATCAAAAATATGCTGGACAAAGTCAATGAGATGATTATTGGTGGTGGAATGGCTTATACCTTCCTTAAGGTACTCAACAACATGGAGATTGGTGCTTCCCTGTTTGATGAAGAGGGAGCCAAGATTGTCAAAGATATCATGACCAAAGCACAAAAGAATGGTGTAAAGATTACTTTTCCTGTTGACTTTGTTACTGCTGACAAGTTTGATGAGAATGCTCAGGTAGGACAAGCCACTGTAGCATCTGGCATACCTCCTGGCTGGCTGGGTTTGGACTGTGGTCCTGAGAGCAACAAGAATCATGCTCGAATTGTGGCTCAAGCAAAGCTAATTGTCTGGAATGGGCCTTTAGGAGTATTTGAATGGGATGCCTTTGCTAAGGGAACCAAAGCCCTTATGGATGAAGTTGTGAAAGCCACTTCCAAGGGCTGCGTCACTATTATAGGGGGTGGAGACACTGCTACTTGCTGTGCCAAATGGAACACTGAAGATAAAGTCAGCCATGTCAGCACTGGAGGTGGTGCCAGTCTAGAGCTTTTGGAAGGTAAAATCCTTCCTGGAGTAGAGGCCCTCAGCAACATGTAGTTAACATAGTGTTACTTCCTTCTGTTTTCTTGAGGCCTTTAATTCAGCTTAGTGCTTTTACATCTCAATGTGACTTTTGTTAAAATCTACCCCTAGATCAAGACCTAGGTAATGGACAAGCAGTGGGTCATCAGGAACTCTTAACATCAGCACAGCAATTCATTTTAGTTTGGTCTTGCCTTCAATTTCTCATTTGAACTTCACCATTGTGCTTTGTAGGGAGGTTATATTGTTAAGCTGCCTATTAAAGAAAGTGAGCTGAAGAAGCTGAATCTTTTTTATTTGAGTCTAACTTTGCAATTGTTTCACTATTTGAAACCCAAAAGACAAAACAAGTTGTTGGGAAAGGGTGGAATGAATATTGACAAACAATAAAAGTGCCCAAATACACTGAGAAAAATAATTACATATAGGAACTTACAGGTACCATTAAAGTTCTGCTAAGAGAAAATGTTGTACTAAATAGAAAGAAAGAGAAATGAAAGATACATATTAAAACCAAGGAAACTTAAAAAGAAAAGAAACTCAAGGTACGAATTATATATGTAGGCATATGAATGCACAAGAATACACACAAATGCCTGTTAGAAAAACAGCTACAAGTAAACTCAAGTTGTAAGTAAGTAATTGTTTTAGTTTTAAGGCAGATATTATTTAATAAATAGATAATATCACTGGTGCGTTCAAAAACTTGGTGTTTGAGATAGATTATATATATATACATAGCTAGTTTAATAATGGAAAAATAGAGATTAAAAATTCTCTATTAGAAAACTGAAGAAAAAATGTTAAGAAATGTAGCAAAAACAAAAACACTTATTTGAAAATATTTTGCTTTATTCTGTAGACAAAGAGGTAGCTCAGAACAATGCTATTAACAAGACTAAAAATTAAGAGTAAAAATACAAATTAACCTTTCCCAGCTATAATATCTTATGTCCCATAACTCTAGATCAATTGTGAATATCCTTAATAATTGAGCTTCAAATAGAAATCTTAATACATCTGAAACTTCAACATATTTTAAACAGAATGTTAACAACATCATATTAATCCCAGGAAAGATTTATTTGTTAGGGTACAGGATTAATGGGACCAAAACTTTAGTAGTTGAAACAACATTAAAACATACACTCTCTCCCATGAGAATCCTGGGCAAATACATGGGCTTTCCTTTCTGAGGTCATCTAGGAAACCAAACTGGCAAAACAGATATGTTACCTCCAATAAGGGGGTTCAGTCAATCTATGGTAGAGGCCATTGTTCAAGTTTTTGCTATTTGATTGCCAGCCTGAAGGGGGACGTTCTTGAAAAGCAATTAGGCTTCTTTTAAATACATGATTCAAAAAGTTTAGAATTGGTTTTCACTTATTCTATTAGCATTAGTGGTAAGATAAGGCCTATTTTGCAAGGGAAGATTGGGGAAGTACTCTCTCTAGCTGCATACCTTTTGAACAGCTAAAAATCAATAAATTCTACTGCTGAAAGGAAATTAGGGAAGAAAACACTGGGGACAATTAATGGTTTCTGACAGGCTGCCATGCTGGCCTCCCAAGTATCCATGTACAAGTATTCATCGTTTTGTGTTTTGTTTTGTTTTGTTTTACAAAAAGAAAACATCCCTTCTCCAAGAGATACAAATGTCTTGTCTGGTTACTGCACCTTACTCAGAATTGGGTAATTGGGTATCTCTGAATTATACACAATTCTTTCTGTGTGATCTAGTGGGGGCCCAACAGTGATCAAATAAGTAATGCAGTCATTTTTCTCATACCTCCCAGCCCCTCACCCCATACAGAGCAATATACAATGGTGAAAAAGAAACAGAATAACTACAATAAAAATACTCACCTAGAAAGAGCCACTGGTTCATTACAATTATGAAATGAATCACTCTGGATCAGAATTTCAAGAACTCCCTGACCTGGCAGCAGCAGGATTTCCTGTGTTAGACTGGTTCTGGTCTTTGGGAGGAATTTATCCATTGTCCTTTTCTAGCCTGTAGCTTGACTAATTGGGAAATTTTCTTTGTTTCCTTAACTTCCGTGGCATATTCTAAAGCAGATGGTATGTTTCATCAGGCTGTATCAGGCCACTGCCTCTTTTTGCTGGTATAGTTTTGTTTTTTCCCAAGACAGAATCCCTCTCTGTCACTCAGGCTGGGGTGAGGTGGCACGATCTTGGCTCACTACAGCATCTACCTCCGGGGCTCAAGAGATTCTTATGGCTCAGTCTTCCAAGTAGCTGGGATTACAGGTGTAAGCCACCACATCTGGCTAATTTTTGTATTTTTAGTAGAGATGGTTTCTCACCATGTTGACCAGGCTGGTTTTGAACTCCTGGCCTCAAATGATATTCCTGCCTTGGTCTCCCAAAGTGCTAGGATTACAGGTGTGAGCCACCATGCCCGGCAGCTGGCTCTCTTGATTTTAATAAATCAAGAATGTCTTTTTGTATCACACAATTAAAAGCCTTTTAAGGTGAGCTAGTGGTTTTTCAGCTTTCTCAAGAATTAAGGTTTCTGGTCTATTTAATTTCATTTGGAAGAACTTCACCAAAAATCTCTAAATCTCTTTTAGTTACACTTCTTAAACCTGTGATTCTTGTTTTTAAATAATTGGCTTCTTTGCTGGGCCTTTTTTTTTTTTTTTTTTTTTTTTTTTTGAGATGGAGTCTCTCTCTGTCACTCAGGCTGGAGTGCAGTGATTTCGGCTCACTGCAACCTCCGCCTCTCAAGTTCAGGTGATTCCCTGTCTCAGCCTCCTAAGTAGCTGGGACTATAGGCACCTGCCACCATGCCTGGCTAATTTTTGTATTTTTAGTAAAGACAGAGTTTCACTCTAGTGGCCAGGCTTGTCTTGAACTGCTGACCTCAGATTATCCACCCTCCTCCACCTCCCAAAGTGCTGGGATTACAGGCATGAGCAGGGCCTGGACCCACATTTCTTTATTGTAAGGATGACTAATGTGAACATAAGAAAAAGTTGGTAGTGGTATGAAGGCAATATTTATAATCTAATCTTTGCGTGTGGCTCTTTCATACTTTTGGCTGAAAAGTACAAATAGGAGGTAACTTTAAAAAGCCATGAGTGACACTCTTTCTCCCATTGTTTGAAGTATTGAGGCAGTTTTTTCAACCCTAAGACATCTCACTTTTCTAGTTAATTAACCAGTTTTAGGTTATCTTCCTTAAAACATTCTGTCACCTCTATTTCCAATTTCAACTATTCAGTTTATCCTAGCTGTGCTAATTTTTTGTTATAATACTTTATTAAAAACAGCATGTAGCAATCAACATATACTGCTATTCTGCCTTTCTAAGCACTTCTCTAGCAGCTTTAATGTCCCCAGGAATATGTTCTGCCAAGTATTTACCATAGTTAACAGTTTTACTGAATGCTGCAGCAGAAGAATTATCATCACCTTCCAGCCTTCCGTGCCTCTTCGCCACTTCTCACCAACTAAGTGAATGCAATATTTTATAAGTTTTATTAAGGCAACATTATTACAGGGAACAATGTCTACATTTGTTGGCCTATAGACTAGTGGTTCTCAAGCTGAATCAAATTTGTTCCATAGGGGACATTTGCCAAAGTCCGGAGACATTCTGTGTGTCACAGCCAGAAGAATGCTGTAGGCGCCTAGTAGTAGTGGCTATCGATGTTCCTAAACACCCAAAAATACACAGGACAGATTTTAGTACAAAAAAATATTTTAGCCCCAAATGTCAATCGTATTAAGGTTGATAAACCTTGATCTAGAAACTACTATAATAAAAATACTTAAAAATACAGCTTCTCAAACAACTAGAAATTTTACTTCCTTAAGGTAACATTCCAGGATGGTTAGGGATAAGTAGATACTTTTTGAGGTCATCCAAGGATCTAACATAGCAAAAATGTCTCTATCATTATCTATACTTGATTTTCATCTCGAGAAGCAGGATGATCAATTCAGTTGTTGACATTTTCCAACTTACTATGCAGGGAAAGGAGAATTCAGAGAAAACATCCTGTTCTTAAGGAGAGGCACTGAAAGTCACACACGTCAATTTTGTTTATATCCCCTCAGTCTGCGCTTAGTAATATGATCTTATCTAAGTGATAGGGAACCTGGACAATAATGTTCTTTGACTCAGTCATCATGGGCCCCATTGAAACTAAAAGGAAGAATGACAAAGGGTGAATTTAAGACAACATCAAAAGAAGAATCTATGAAAATTTCACAATACACCAGTAGATCCATGGAGAAAATGCTTTCGTAGATGGTTTACCCTAAGAGAGAGGAGAACATTTAGATGATAAGCACACTTCATTTAAATAATTATGAAAGAAGAAAAATGAATATAGAAGATAATCACATGAGATGGAAAATAAACTGATAAGAAGTATAAAAATACATGACAAATTCAAGTGCTCAGTGGTATTAGAAATAAACAAAAGACTTCAAAGTGCAGGGGAAATAAAGTCAATGAATTAGCATATTGGAAAAGTAACATAATACAATGAAGTCTTAGAAAAAGATGTTTGTGGAGCTATAAACAGCCATGTGCCCTATAAGAACATTTCACTCAACATGCTGCATGTACAACAGTGGGACCATAAGATCATAGTTGAGCTGGAACATTTCTATTACCTAGTGAAGTCTTAATGATCTTGACCTCCTGTAGGCCTAGCTAAGGTGTATGTTTGTGTCTTAGTTTTTAACAAAAAAGTTTAAAAAGTTAAAAATTATTTTAAAAATAGAAAAAGGCTTATAGAATAAGAATATAAAGAAATAAAATATTTTCATACAGCTGTACAATGTCTTTGTGTTTTAACATAAGTTATGTTACAAAAGTTATCAAAAAGTAGGAGTCAAAAAATTAAAAAAGGAAAAGTTTATAAAATAAAGCTTACATCAAGTTGGTCAATTTATTACTGAAGAAAAAAATATTTTTATTAAATTTAGTGTGACCTTCATGTTCAGTGTTTCTAAAGTCTACAGTAGTATACAGAAATGTTCTTCATATTCATCCTCTACTCACTGGCTCACTCACCCAGAGTAATTCTCAGTCCTACAAGCTCCATTCATGATAAGTGTCCTACACAGGTATGCCACTTTTGCCTTTTATATGGTATTTTTACTGTACACTTTCTAGGTTTATATATACAAACACTTACCATTGCGTTACAGTTGCCTACAGTATTCAGCACAGTAACATGCCATATGAGTTTGTAATCTAGTAGCAACAGGCTACTTCATACAGCTTAGGTGTGTAGTAGGCTATACCATTT